ACGGAGCCCCAACCCCCCTCATGGGCCCTGCTCTGTGCATGACAGGGGGCGGCGCCCCAAATCCCCAATCGGCCCTGCTCTGAGCCCGACCAGGGGCTGCACCTAGGGATTGGGCCTGCCCTCTGCCACCCGGGAGCGGGCCTAAGCCAGCAGGTCGTTATCTCCCGAGGGGTCCCAGACTGTGAGAGGGCACAAGTGGGGCTGAGGGACACCCTCCAACCCCACCAGTGCACAAATTTTTGTGCACCGGGCCTCTAGTATTTAAAATAACCTGTGAAGGTTTCAGAGTTAATAGAAGATATGTAGGATCCACCCGATTACATGTTGGATCCTGTCTGAAATTTCAAACAGGAGACAGCAGGCAAAAACAAATCAAAAACTGAAACACACATGGAATGTGTAGTTTATGTATATCACAAAGCAGAAGATAAAACTTCAATAATGCTTTAATTATAATCCATTACCTGCAGCTCATCTGTATTTCAGGCCTAGAGGAGCAAAGTAAACAAAACAGCTTCCCTAGGGGTAATGCACCAGTAGAAACATTTGCGAGCAGGAATATGAATCAACAACAATCGATCCTGAATGACTCACTTACTCTATTGTCCATTCAATAAACATGTCATAAGCACTCATTACGTTCCAGACACTGACAAATAAGTCCCATAAACTATTCATCTATAACCTGGAGCAGCTGCAGCCTTACCCACTCTAAGGTGCCATTGGCTCTATAATTAGATTCCACTTCATACACATGATCTCCCCAAATGCTGGTTCCCCTTTGACCCAAAGGTGCCTGACTCTCAAAATCAATGATCAAAACTTTTGAGACAGCTACCAGTATGGAAAGCCAGGCATGATAAACTCATTTCCCAAAGTGGATGTAAGGGGGATGGAGGGGCAGGTAGGAGACTCTTCCTCCAGCGCCCACCCTCACACTCAGCCCCCTCGCGCATGTTTGCCAGGATCCCTCCGTCCAGCGAGAGTGGGTGTGAGGACTACTGCCCTCTGTGTGACTTACAGCCCTCTGCACTATCACCTGAAGCACAGGGGAAAGAATGAACTTGAAAAGGCCAAAGGGAAACCTGACCCAGATTTTTTTCACTTATTTGCCAGATCAATACTTTGCTAAGAGGGAGCTGGCAATTGAAACTGTAGACCAGGGGTCCTCAAACTTTTTAAACAGGGGGCCAGTTCACTGTCCCTCAGACCGTTGGAGGGCCGGACTATAGTTTTAAAAAAAACTATGAACAAATTCCTATGCACACTGCACATATCTTATTTTGAAGTAAAAAAACAAAACGGGAACAAATACAATATTTGTATTTGCATGTGGCCCGCGGGCCGTAGTTTGAGGACCCCTGCAGTGTAGACTTTCCCAGGCTACCCTTCCCCCCTAACTTATCAGGTTCAAAGCTCAATTATTGCTTTTTAGTTCACTGATTTTCACACACTCACTATTCATGCACACCACACCTGCAACCTTTTTCAAAGTCCCTAAAGACAGAGCCCAAGGATACACATCTCATTCAGGGATTGGGGCCAAGGGCCTGCGGACATTTCATCCTCCCCCTTCACTCCCACCCCATATCAGGAACCTGAAGCCTGCAGCTTTCATGCCAATGAAAGTAGCACCCAAACAAGAAAACTGGTTTTCTAATACCCAGAATGATTTACAAGTCACCCATGGACAGATATGGAGCAAATTAAAGAAAGCACAATATGAATGACGAAGACAATCTAGAGGACTTGACCTAGCTACAGAATTGAGTTTTTCACCATCATCACATTCATCCTTATTACCTGCAATGACCTCAATCCACTGACAAAAAATAATAATAACAATAAATGGTCCTAATTGCTATAGATGATCCACAATGTACAAAAACCCTCTCAAAAATCATCAAATAAAAAGTATGTTTCAGTCTGGAGAAAAAGAACATGTTTCACCCCTCTAGTGGCTAAAACAAAAAGTCAGAACTGAATCTGCTGAATTTCCCTCATTATAAAGTTGCCCACAAAAACACAAGAACCACAGGAAATATCTCATAGAAAGGAGAAATGAGCTGGCTTTTTGAAAATAGAGAAGAAATTCAGGGAGCAACAGAAGCCAAATTGATATTCAGCCAAGGTATCATTCAAAACATCCTTAATAACCATAAGTCATTAGCTCTTGGCATCCTAGCATGACCATTTTCTCCATGGAAATGCTTGGACACCAGCAGAACTAGGGTAATGGGCATGAACCCACCACTCCACAGCTCTCGAGGAAACACTGAAAGACTTACCAGGTGTAGCAGATACCCAGCAAAGGAAGGAGTGCGCCAGAATCCTCTCCTCTACAGGGACTCCTCCCCTGGCCCACTATCCACTACCTGGCCATAAAGTAGGATGGGGAAATCTCATGTTAAACAGGTGCCGGTACACGGCTTACTCCCCATCTCCCCAGATTCCTTGAAAGCATAATAATCAACAAAATATCCTACTACCCTAAAATATTTCCAAGTATCAATTTCTCCAGTCACTCCTTGCCACAAATTTCCAAGGAAGAAAGGCTATTAAAGAGAGTAAAATTATATTATTAGTTATTAATAACCACTAATAATATATTATTTTTAAGAAGCGTCATAAATTCATTGCCTACCATGCATCAAAGCTTAAGCCAGATTTTCTATACACATCATCATTCATCAAGGCAGATTAGAGTATAAAATCAGTGACAGAGAAAAGGTGCTCTGGGTCATTGCTGAGCCATTCTTGCCAGAAACAGCTGCCCTGATAGTGAAGTTTCACTTGTTCAAAATTTCGTCACTCATATGGTGTTCAAACTGCAGCAATGAGTACTATAATCTTATTGCTAACTTGGTCATCAACCAAGGCCAAATTGGTAGGCTTATGACATAGCTCTCCCATTTTGTGTTTTCCCCCCACTCTGTTCTTACGAGGTCAGTTATCTCATAAAATACTTAGTTAGAAAATATCATAGAAAAACATATTTGCACCAAGATATTGGTGAGTTAAGACATTATTGCTCCCAGTGATATATACTCAATAAAAGGAGACCACAGGAAGACAACTGTGCTTAACACAAACAAATTAATTACTAATAGTAGATATTTTTCAGGTCTCAATAATAAGGGTTACATGGTGGGATGAAGTCTTTCCCATTAACCTTCAATCAGACCATTTCTAGCACCCTGTTTCTCGGTTGTCTCAAGGAGCCCAGTTTCTAAATAGTCCTGGAAATACCACATCTGAGCAGCGACCTCTCCACTGTGCCCACCCCCCACAATTAATTATTATTGACATCACCACTACTCCCTCTCCTAGCTCGCACTGTGTTTACTCTCCTATTGTCCTTCTCTTTTGAAATATGTTGATTATAACTTAAAACTACATAGATAAGTAGGACTTTGTTAAATGAGAAATGTAAAAATTCACATGCCTATTAAATTTGCAGATCCAAAAAGATAAATTTTGTCACTTGTGTGT